TGTACGTATGTATATGTTTAATTTTCTTTTGAGTGTGGGTTAAATATTTTAAAAACATAACCTCAAATTTCATAGGAATTTCAAATGAAATCGAAATATAAAATCTGTGCTGTGAAATTGTTGTTCTTTTTTAGACTCAGCACCCTAACGATGCATATCGATTTTCACAAATTCGTATACTGATTAATATTAACCCTGAGATTTTTTCTTTAAATTATTTTCAAGGTTATTTGTTAAATGTCTGTACATACATACATACACATGTACATACATATTATGTACATACATATGTACATATATTTATGTATTTTGTTTTTTGCTGATCTTTAACAGGATATGATATTCGTGATATTGTTTGTTTTTGCTTTTAGTGTCGTGTTTTTCCTACCCAAATTATTTTTAGGGGAACATTGGTGTTTGTATTTTTAATGAATTTGTATAAATTTGCAACCTGTTTCTTTGGTTTTGAAATTTGGCAAATATCTTGTTAACTATTATGGTATAACTATGAACATTTTTGAGGTAGATTTTGATGGGTAGATGGGTGTTATTTCTTTAATTGGGTATTATGGAAATAATAACTTAATTTGAGGAGGTTTTATAAAATACTATGTTTTAAATGAGTTTTTTTTTTGGGGAAAACTCTTTCATTTTAAATTTTTATAAATTCATAATTACACTTTGCAAAAGTTTTACTTTCAGTTTTATAACATCGGTAGGCAAAATTTGATTTCAGAACTCTATAATTTTAAAACGTCTGAAATTCGAAAATGACGGAAATATATTTAGTTTTCCTTAAAAATTTTCTGGACCCAATAGGCTAAAATTTACAAGCTAACTATTCTCTGACCACTATAATCCCGTTGTGGATTCTGCCGCAATCTTCAACCTTCTTTGGCAACAAATTCACTGTTGTACGATCTCACCGAAGTACGATCTCCTTCAATCTTTATGTATGGGGAAATACTGCGGTTGATTAGGTATGAACAGATTCAACACGATCTAAATGCGATCATCCATGATGGATATGATGTACATATGTATGTAGGTGGTAGCTTCTACATATCACATACGGGAACGGAAGTTTCCTTCACACTCCAAGTCTAATGCAGCGTTATTCAGGCTGAATAATAGGCCTTAAAATGGGCTGCAAACTGGCTTAGATTTGACCGAATATACGGTGCTAATTTTCGAATATATGTAAACCGACAGCCAGGCAAACCTGAGGGCTTTAAGCGGTGTTGATATAACATCAATCTTTGTCCTAGAATGCCGGTATGGCGGAACATTCCACAATGGACTGTATTGGATTTCGAGTCATCATCAGATACCTGGATATACCATTGTGGTCTCTTTTGTCAAAGTCCTAGAATGCCGGGCATACCTAAATGAGATGGCGGAACATTCCACAATATGACTGTATATGATTTCGGGTCATCATCAGATAACTGGAAATAACATCGAACCCTCCTTTGCCAAAGTGGCTTCTTTACTAACAAAAGAGCATGCTGACCCTTTCGTCAGTACACCGAGCTCAACCTGGAAACGCTCGATTCGAGTTTGCACAATGCAGATGGTCGACTGAGGCCACCTTCAGACACGAGAGGATCATGAGGCCGCTGTTTTAACCACACAGATAGCAAACCCTAGTTCACATTCCGTGAGGAAATCTACGGAAATTGAATGCAGTAATGACTAGCCTCTGACCTTTCATTCACACTGCAGGAGTTGTCAAGACGAGGAGGCAGGAGAGTATCACTCACAACATCAGACTATTGTTTAACATTAGAGTATACTTTTTAATGGTTTGAGCAAAAATGTCAGGATTATAAAGAAAATCGGTTTTATACAAAGAGGGAATATCATAAATAGAGGTTAAACCTATATTTTGAAAACAATTTATAAAAATTGTAGACGATGTAATAAATTAAAAGGTATAATGTCCTGTGTAACGCAAAGATATTTCGATAACATAAACAGTTACAATCAGGAAGCGTAATAACACCCTTTGAAATATCTATAACCATCAATCTACCCCTAATTCTAAAAAAGTCCATATTCAACATATTTATAACTTTGGTAACAATATTCCGGGAGGACATTTCTTCGCGGATATCATGGACCGAATAATCAAGTCTATAGACTAGTATAGAATATACAAAGAGGGAATATCATAAACAGAGGTTAAACCTATATTTTGAAAACAATTTATAAAAATTGTAGACGATGTAATAAATTAAAAGGTATAATGTCCTGTGTAACTCTAAGATATTTCGATAACATAAACAGTTAGAATCAGGAAGCGTAATAACACCCTTTGAAATATCTATAACCATCAATCTATCTCTAATTCTAAAAAAGTCAATAATCAACATATTTATAGCTTTGGTAACAATATTCCGGGAGGACATTTCTTCGCGGATATCGTGGACCGAATAATCAAGTCTATAGACTAGTATAGAATATTTTTATTGGGATAAAAAAGTCGTGGACTTATTATCAAATATTCAAACATTTGAAATGACTAAAAACATCACACCAAACAAATATCAACAATAAAACTCCGAAAACGTTTCTAATATCCTTGAACATAACCCACCATATGTGCTTAATAGCAATTGTGAAAACCTTGAAAATGTTTTTAAACAAGAAAAACAAACTTATTTTTAGACTAACCAAGTAAAACACAAACAAAAGAAGAAGAAGAAATGTTTGATGCGAGTAAAGAAAATGGAACAAAAAGGAAGAAAGGAAACCCATAAAAGTACAGTAACACTTTTACAAGTTTAACGTAAAGAAACATATAATACTATCCTACAACTATTATGCTTTACACTTACCTTTTGTCTAGACATGTCCTTTTTTAAAATCGTGCTCAAAGAGATTGAGTCCTTTTTCTGCTTTGCTTTTTTCTATGATATTTAAACAATTGATGTTTAAAACCTGTTGATCAGGATTAAGATAAAAACGAAGAAATGTTAATATCTTCTATGTAAAAAGTTCAGGAGAAATGAGTTAAATACGTTTTCTGGAAAAAGCGAGAGATAAATAGTTTTAATTAACATTATATTAATGTTTAAGGTAAATTTTAATGCATTACTCACCTTGTGTCGAATAGAGAAAATATTACATTTGCAAGTTTTTTGTTGAGGATTCAGCATTTCTATATGTTCTCTGCAGTTGATGATATACGGTATATCATAACTTTGAAGTGAATTTCGGAAGGTCTTTATTGATCGATCCTTTTGGAACCTTTTAATACAACTTATTTATTTAGAAGACTTATCAGGGTGATTTTCATTAGATGGTGCTCAACTTTAATTTTGGACCGAGCGGAAAGAAAATATATTGGATAAAGGGTCACTAATAAAATGTTTTGTAAAGGATTTTGTTTATGTCGAGTTGAATTTATATATTGTTACCTTTAAACTAGTTACGGAAGTAAAAATTATTTTCAGAAGGGGACATTCTATGAGAGCTAGGGCCAAATATTGCCCCTTCTTCAATTTCAGTTGTAGAAAATTTAATTATGATTGCTCCATAATCAACATATTTATAGCTTTAGTAACAATATTCCGGTAGAACATTCCTTCGGGGATATCGTGGATCGAATAATCAAGTCTATAAACTAGTATATAATATTTCTATGGTGATTAACAAAGTGTATAGTCTAGTCTATAGTCTAGTCTATAGTCTAGTCGATAGTCTAGTCTATAGTCTAGTCTATAGTCTAGTCTATAGTCTAGTCTATAGTCTAGTCTATAGTCCAGTCTATAGTCTAGTCTATAGTCTAGTCTATAGTCTAGTCTATAGTCTAGTCTATAGTCTAGTCTATAGTCTAGTCTATAGTCTAGTCTATAGTCTAGTCTATAGTCTAGTCTATAGTCTAGTCTATAGTCTAGTCTATAGTCTAGTCTAGTCTATAGTCTAGTCTATAGTCTAGTCTATAGTCTAGTCTATAGTTAGTCTATAGTCTAGTCTATAGTCTAGTCTATAGTCTAGTCTATAGTCTAGTCTATAGTCTAGTCTATAGTCTAGTCTATAGTCTAGTCTATAGTCTAGTCTATAGTCTAGTCTATAGTCTAGTCTATAGTCTAGTCTATAGTCTAGTCTATAGTCTAGTCTATAGTCTAGTCTATAGTCCTAGTCTATAGTCTAGTCTATAGTCTAGTCTATAGTCTAGTCTATAGTCTAGTCTATAGTCTAGTCTATAGTCTAGTCTATAGTCTAGTCTAGTCTATAGTCTAGTCTATAGTCTAGTCTATAGTCTAGTCTATAGTCTAGTCTATAGTCTAGTCTATAGTCTAGTCTATAGTCTAGTCTATAGTCTAGTCTATAGTCTAGTCTATAGTCTAGTCTACTATAGTCTAGTCTATAGTCTAGTCTATAGTCTAGTCTATAGTCTAGTCTATAGTCTAGTCTATAGTCTAGTCTATAGTCTAGTCTATAGTCTAGTCTATAGTCTAGTCTATAGTCTAGTCTATAGTCTAGTCTATAGTCTAGTCTATAGTCTAGTCTATAGTCTAGTCTATAGTCTAGTCTATAGTCTAGTCTATAGTCTAGTCTATAGTCTAGTCTATAGTCTAGTCTATAGTCTAGTCTATAGTCTAGTCTATAGTCTAGTCTATAGTCTAGTATATAGTCTAGTCTATAGGTTAATCTATAGTTTAGTCTATAGTCTAGTCTATAGTCTTGTTTGTAGTCTAGTCTATAGTCTTGTCTGTAATGTAGTATATAGTTTGTATATAGTCTGGTGTATAGTCTACTCTATAGTCTAGTCTATAGTCTATTCTATAGTCCATTCTGTAGTCTAGCCTAAACGCTATTCTATAGTGTAGACTATAGTCTTATTTAAGAATAGAAAAGTGGAATTTCTGAGTACTTTTAGCTATAAAAAATATGCTGGAATAGTTAAGTTATAAATCAGTTTCCAACTTTTTAAAATTTACTTCTACCGTAATTGTCTTTTACTCAAGCTTTTAGTGGATTTAATAATCATCTATTTTTTCTATTTTAATATAAAAATTTCACATTTTATTTAAATACTTCTAAAACTATCAGATAATAACTTATATAGAATAGAATTAATTTAAATTTTACTTACTCTAAACATAAGGATAAATTCATTCCATATTTTTTCGTCTTTTACAAAAATTTTGAAAAAAAAAAAAAAAATATTTCAGAAAACAATACCGATTTTGAATGTGCTCTATACTTGCAAAAATTTGTACTTTAACCTGTTGTACTCTTTATAAGTAATACATTAGACTGCTAACTATACGATTAGAAATCCAGAAAATATGCCTGATCATCAAAGTGTGGTTCCGAAGAAGTGTGACGACGATGATGATGATGCGATTGTGGAATAGGAGGAGGTGGATGATTAGATGTTTGAAGATGAGGCGGTTGTGCTGCAGCATTTGTATTACCATAATAACTGATCGATAATGGCATATCATCTAAAGTATAATTATTCTTGGACTGTAGAGTCCTACGCAAATCAATTTTATGAACCATTAACATATGTCGCTTAAGATCCTCCTTACGTTTATAACGTGATGAACAATATTCACAAGCAAATTTCGGTGGCACACCAATGCATTCATTCGTAACGTGACGTTTTAGATGAGCTTTACGTAAATAACTTTTACCACAAATATTACAGGGATAACGTTGTTGATATGGAGTCATATGTAACGAAACATCGGGATGATGATAAACTGAAGGAAAAAGAGAATTTATTTAACAAAAATCTATCTAAGGAATTAAAAAAATCATATTACCGAAGTTGAAGAGAATTTTTACAAAAAAAAAAAGATAATGCCAACAACAAAAATTCAAATAACTACAAAAATATAGTAAAATATAGGGAACTACGGAACGAAATTAAATACATACATTTAGAAGGTTTTTGTTTATAATTAAACTGTTCAGTTAAACTGATTAAAAATAAGGGTTTTTAATTTAAATATATTTATTCATTTCAGAGTCGGGTTCGATTTAGCGATGTCCATATGTTTGTTGTTAATTTTCTGAAGGACCTATATGTCTTAGTGGTCCAAACCATGGATTATTCTACAAAACTAGTAAAATTTTTTCATAGATGTGGCAGATATTATCGAGATTCCGAAAAACTCAAGATTTTCCTATATTTTTGGATGTATCTTGTGCGATATGTTCGGTAGATAGTTGATATGTATATCAAAAGAAAGATAATGCGAAGACCTTTCATTTGATTCACATATTGTTTTGGGGCTACATGCAAAACTTAGCACCCTATTTCAAAACAAAGTCATTTTACAATACTGGGGCGAATTTCCGTATAGGTGATCGAAAAATATTTCATATGGAAAACACATTTCCAATTGATATCAACTTGAAAAATTACAATCAATTTAACTCGATCATGAACACGGTTATTTTGGCCTTAAACTTTTTTAACACAAAGTGCTCATATTAGAAGAACTAGTTCTTCAAGTTAGTGTTCGACTAGCTGGATCTGAGAAGTCAATTTCTAAACTATAAAATTTGCGCAAGAAGATCACCTAAAAAGAATTCCCGGATCAGATCGTCTTCTGATCTAATTTACATAGTTAAAATTCCAATATTCGATCTATTGATCAACTAAAAAGAAGCAGATTGGTTGCTGATCGGTTACTGTTGAAATTGAAGATCAGAACTCAGACCAAACAATTTTAAACCCAGAGTTCAAAGTTTACTTTACTAAACAATTGTGCAGAATGAATATGAATAAAGGTTATAGCTTTTTAAAGTCAATAGAATGGACTTTCAGATGATATAACAAACTTTAAATATAAAGGACTCTTCGCGTTGTTATAATAATCTTTGAGAGACGATATCTCGAAAACATAATGTGATGCAGAAATACTGATACACAGATTCAGATTCAGCGAAGCTCAATGTTATAGAAACCTTTGTATACTTTGGTATCTGGGTCTAAATTGCTCTACTGATCACGTAAAAATATCTATTTGCAGATCGTATTTTTTTGATTCTTAGAGAGATCGCAATATTTGGCCGTTTGCAAAACGGGTTTCGATCAAATTTTAATGGCGTAAATTTGATTGCATTATCTCTTTAAAAGGAAATCGGTCGAAGTTGAAGGATTTGCCTTAAATATTGATCTAGACGGTACAGTTAAGATTTTAATATGTTGATTGAATGACAGAACATGCTTCAAAACATGCAGATTGCCTACCACCGTTAAGATCTCAATATTTGATTTAATGATCGCCCGAAAACTGTATCTGAACAGATTGTTTTTTGTTGACAGTTCCAGAATTGATATCACATTATGGTTTATGCTGAAACTTCTTCTACAGCTACAATTACAATCTTTAGCCTGATCGGGGGAAAAAGTGGTATGTCTTCCGCAGATCGACTTCTGTTGAAAGATGCCTAGTTAAGTTCTCAATACTGACGCCTAAAATAGTGCAGATCGGCAACCACAGTATCCGCAAGTACTCAATATATTTGGCCTCCTTTAGTTGATTATTTTTTATTGAAACTTTTACAGTTAAGATCTTAATATTTGGCCTGATCGTTTCAGGCATAGTCTCTCTGTTCAATATTTGATATACTGATTGTTTAAAGCATCCACAGGCAAGTGATCAATATATTTGATTTCCTGCTGATCACCTATAAAAAGACTCTGTGCAAGTCGTTTTCAGTTGATATTTCTAGAATTAAAATCACAGCATTCTTGGGTTATTAAAATTCTAATCATACTCTAATATAAATCAATAGGATCATAACAATTTCTAGTATAGACGACGAGTTTCAGTCAATGTTTAATCAGGTCATCTTCTATTGAAACTTTCATTTGGCGTGATCGGTTAAAACAAGTTAAGATCTCAATATTTGGACTACTGATCGTCTCTGTACAATGCAATTCAAATTTCCACGTCTTTTGGGTTTCAGACCAAAATTTTTAAGAAAAATGTCCTCTTAAATTTGTTAATTAATATAATTTAATAAAATTTTGTTTTGTTTTTGCCTAAGTAAAACATTATTTTGTGTTGAAAATTTTTTTATTGATTTTATTCTTTTTAACTTAAACTTATTTCTTATATATTTTTTATGCTAAATAATAGTAGAATTTAAGAAAAATTTTAGTTCTTTGTTTGTTTGATTATAGGCTTAACATAAATGTTATTTGCTCCTCAAAAATTAATATATGTTTTTAATTTTTGCTTAAATTTTAATCAAAACTTATTTTTTTATTAAAAAAATTTTTAAGTACCTCCTTTTTAATAATTTATTTATAATGAAATTTATTAAAAAAGAGTTTTCAATTAAAGCTATTTTGAAATTATTCAAGTTTTGTTTTTAAACCTGAAATTTAATGCTTAAAATAAAACTTAAATATCTTTTATTAAAAATAATAGTTATGGTAAATTACTATGTAATGTAAGTGGTGAAGTTAGGGCGTATTTTTTTAAGATTTTCTTAAATATGTATGTTGAAATCGTTTGTTTTGTTATAGGATATGATGTTTTATGTTTATTCTATATTTTATAGAAATTTTGTAATATTTTGATTTTTATTTTTATTAATTTTTATTGTAACTACTTATTTGTTTAATTTTTTTTTTAATTGGTGCAAAAATTTTTTATGTGTAGAGTTGTTAATAAGAAAAATTTGACTTTTTTTAAATGGTCCTTCGGTTTAAATTTTAAAGCTTAAATTTGTTTAGTTAATTTTAATAAATTTTCATAGTAATTTTTTTTTTAATTTAAGTTAGTTTATAGGGGTAAATTTTTTTTGATTCTTTCTATTATGTTTAAATTGAATTGTAGGCTTAAAATACACTTAAAAGTTATGGTCCTTCAGACTGTAAGTTATCTAACAGAAGAACAGATTGTTTTTCATATAGAATGTGCGAATTAGAAACATTCTCTATCACCTCGAGTCACAGAAGTAAAGAAATACAATTTTAAATGTATTATTTTAAATCTGCACAAAATCGATAGCCGTGAGCTGATCGGCATCTGTTGAAAAGGTCACAATATTTGATCAATCGAGATATCGATGAAATGGAGAAGAAAATTCATTTGACACGACTATATTTGGTCTACTGATCGATCAATATCTTGATAGAATGTGAAAAGTTTGAATGGAGATAACGATCACCGTGTTTGAATGCTGTAATTTGTAATATAGTCTAGTCTATAGTCTAGTCTATAGTCTAGTCTATAGTCTAGTTTATAGTCTAGTCTATAGTCTAGTCTATAGTCTAGTCTATAGTCTAGTCTATAGTCTAGTCTATAGTCTAGTCTATAGTCTAGTCTATAGTCTAGTCTATAGTCTAGTCTATAGTCTAGTCTCTAGTCTAGTCTCTAGTCAAGTCTCTAGTCTAGTCTATAGTCTAGTCTATAGTCTAGTCTATAGTCTAGTCTATAGTCTAGTCTATAGTCTAGTCTAGTCTAGTCTATAGTCTAGTCTATAGTCTAGTCTATAGTCTAGTCTATAGTCTAGTCTATAGTCTAGTCTATAGTCTAGTCTATAGTCTAGTCTATAGTCTAGTCTATAGTCTAGTCTATAGTCTAGTCTATAGTCTAGTCTATAGTCTAGTCTATAGTCTAGTCTATAGTCTAGTCTATAGTCTAGTCTATAGTCTAGTCTATAGTCTAGTCTATAGTCTAGTCTATAGTCTAGTCTATAGTCTAGTCTATAGTCTAGTCTATAGTCTAGTCTATAGTCTAGTCTATAGTCTAGTCTATAGTCTAGTCTATAGTCTAGTCTATAGTCTAGTCTATAGTCTAGTCTATAGTCTAGTCTATAGTCTAGTCTATAGTCTAGTCTATAGTCTAGTCTATAGTCTAGTCTATAGTCTAGTCTATAGTCTAGTCTATAGTCTAGTCTATAGTCTAGTCTATAGTCTAGTCTATAGTCTATAGTCTAGTCTATAGTCTAGTCTATAGTCTAGTCTATAGTCTAGTCTATAGTCTAGTCTATAGTCTAGTCTATAGTCTAGTCTATAGTCTAGTCTATAGTCTAGTCTATAGTCTAGTCTATAGTCTAGTCTATAGTCTAGTCTATAGTCTAGTCTATAGTCTAGTCTATAGTCTAGTCTAGTCTAGTCTATAGTCTAGTCTATAGTCTAGTCTATAGTCTAGTCTATAGTCTAGTCTATAGTCTAGTCTATAGTCTAGTCTATGGTCTAGCCTATAGTCTAGTCTATGGTCTAGCCTATAGTTTACTCTATAATCTAGCCTATAGATTATTCTATAATCTAGTCTATAGTCCTGATAGGGTCCACATATATGGAGGATATATGTATGTATGTACATCAGATCCGTAACATCTGACCGCAATAGAGTCCTATTGCGCACTTATTTTCTTGGAAAATATTGGTTAAAACCTCTTATTATGCGATTTTGTTTCCAATGGATGAACCATATTTTTATAATTTGCTTCTCTTGGTCCAAATTCAAATTTCCTAATGGTTTTTTAGCACTTTCTTCCGTTTATTTAAATAATCCGCATTACAATAACTGTTTTGATTTTTCAGTATATGGACCATAATCTTTTAAGAATTCATTTGGTATCTAAATTTTGATGATTTTATTTTTCAAGATGTTTACAAATCTATTTTAGATTTTATTTCAATTATTTTCTAATTCTAATAAGAATTTTTGCATAGATTTATGCCTAAACTACAAATATATATAAAAAACTATATAAAGGGCTCAATTCTTAAAAGCTAATCTTGCCTGTGTATCTTTGCATTCAATTCCATTTTGTTTCAAAAGATTTATATCAATATTGAATGTTCCTTGCGCATATGCTCGTTTAGAAATGCCTGTGAACGATAGACCCGCGAACAGAGCGGACAACGATTTGTCTCATATTGCGACATACGTTTTGTACTTTGACGTGGTAATTTCTTGCGACCACCATACAATAATGTTTCATTTTGGGCCAATAGATCTTTGGGTAAACTGGGCACTAAACGTTCCATACACTGAGCCGATGATATGGAGGCCAGCTGTTGTAGGGCAATTAAGGCAGTAGGATTTGATGTTATTAAACCGCTTGACGAGGTGGAAGGTTCTTGGGCGGTTGTATTATTTGGTTCACTTTGCAGTGAAGTATCCGAGGAATATGAACCAAACATTTCTAAATCTATAGATGATTTATCTGATTCTAATTTTATTTGTATTTCCATTTCAATATCGGATTGTGGTTGATGCTGACTGCTAGAGGATGGTGTTTCCAGGGTAATAGATTGGGAAGAGTGTTGTCTTCTCAGATTGTATTTTACAGGAACTGAAATGATAAAAGTTTTAAAGAAATTATTATAAATGTTAAAATTTTTATAAAAAACTAATAATAAATATATTTTTATAACAAAATTATTAATAATACAAACAATTAATTTTAGTTAACACTTCAAGATTTTATTAAAAATTATAAAAAATCTAGTAACTAAAACCTTGTTTATAAAGAAAAATTCAGTTTTTAAATATTTGATAATAATCAAGAGTGTGAAATTATAAAACAAAAATATTTAATTTCTTTTTGTTTCTTTTTTATTAAAAATACATTAAAGGAATAAAAATAAAAAAGAATTCATTAACAAATTGTAGGTTTATACATACATAGTTAGCAACATGTTGCTTAAAATCATGAAAAAAATCGTTAATACCTAATTATAAATAAAACTTGTACTTTGTTGATAAATTGCTAATTGTTAATTAGATTGTTATGTTTAATATTAAATAATTTTATTTTAATTATATAAAAAAAAAGTTTTCAACTTTTTATAATATTTGTGTTTCAAATACGTTAACGCAACATTTGTTGTCCTTTATCTTTTTTAAGGTAGAATATAGACAAGACTGTAGATTAAACTATATACTAGACTCGATCATAGAATAGAACATAGACTAGACTAGAGTATAGACTGGACTTTTGATTAGACTGTAGACTAGACTATAGACTAGACTAAAGACGAGACTATAGACTAGACTATACTATAGACTATACTATAGACTAGACTATAGACTAGACTATAGACTAGCCTATAGACTAGACTATAGACTAGCCTATAGACTAGACTAGACTAAAGACGACACTATAGACTAGACTATAGACTAGACTAGACTAAAGACGACACTATAGACTAGACTATAGACTAGTCTATAGACTAGATTAGACTATAGACTAGTCTATCGACTAGACTAGACTATAGACTAGACTATAGACTAGACTATAGATTAGACAATAGACTAGACTATAGACTAGACTATAGACTAGACTACAGACTAGACTATAGACTAGACTATAGACTAGACTATAGACTAGACTATAGACTAGACTATAGACTAGACTTTAGACTAGTTATACTAAATATACTAGAGTAGACTATAGACTAGACTATAGACAAGACTATAGACTAGACTATAGACTAGACTATAGACTAGACTATAGACTAGACTATAGACTAGACTATAGACTAGCCTATAGACTAGCCTACAGACTAGACAATAGACTAGACTAAAGACGAGACTATATACTAGACTATACTATAGACTAGCTTATCGACTAGACTAGACTATAGACTAGCTTATCGACTAGACTATAGACTAGACTATAGACTAGACTATAGACTAGACTACAGACTAGACTATAGACTAGACTATAGACTAGACTATAGACTACACTATAGACTAGACTATAGACTAGACTATAGACTAGACTATAGACTAGACTATAGACTAGACTATAGACTAGTCTATAGACTATACTATAGACTAGACTATATAATAGACTATATAATAGACTATAGTCTATAGACTAGACTATAGACTAGACTATAGACTAGACTATAGACTAGACTATGGACTAGACTATAGACTAGACTATAGACTAGACTATATACTAGAATATAGACTAGACTATAGACTAGACTATAGATTAGAATATAGACTAGACTATAGACTAGACTATAGACTAGACTAGACTAGACTATATACTAGACTATAGACTAGTATATAGTCTAGACTATAGACTAGACTATAAACTAGACTTTAGACTAGACTTTAGACTAGACTATAGACTAGACTGTAGACTAGACTATAGACTAGACTATAGACTAGACTTTAGACTAGACTATATACTAGACTATAGACTAGAATATAGACTAGAATATTGACTATATACTAGACTATAGACTGGACCACAGACTAGGCTACTTTAGACAAACTTTATCTTAAGATATCTCAAAGAAGGATCAAGTTATAACGATGTTTATAAAGCTGACTTTGAGCTGTTATAGCATCGGAAATATAGATGAAACCGATGGAAAAGTATACTTTATATATACTGATCGGCCTATATCAGACAATACTGGAAATACTAACAACGTATTGTTCATTTATCGAAACGTAATTTTAAAAATTATCCACCGTCTGTTTTCAGGTTAAGTGAGAGAGCTTTCTCTTTCTTGACGTTATAAATATGTACGGTCCCCGACTTTCTCGTCATTTGCACAATATGTTAAAATAAATTAAAGGAATGTACGCTAAATTGTTGCCAACATGTTGCCAGCAACATTATTATCAAATTTAAAGTCAAAATGATTATAAATTTGAGAAAACTTAAGAAAAAGTGAAATAAACAGAATAGTGAAAAATAGTACACATTTTGTTTGTATCATAAATGAAAATATTTCAAGAAGTAATTGTAAACATGTGGCCAATAACGTGATTATTAAGTTTAAATTGACAACAAAGAGACCTAAAATTAAAAAACAAAACTTAAACAAAATTAGAAAAAAGAATTCATATTTAGTTTATATTAAAAAATAAAAATGTACCAAATGTTATAGAAAACATGTTGCCAGCATCATGTTTATTAAGCTTAAAATAAAGGTAAACATATTTAATTTAAAATTAAAAAAATACTTAATGAAAGCTGAATAAAAGAAGAAAAATAATTCACATGTTGTTTATATTTATAAATAAAAATGTACCAAAAGTTATTGTAAACATGTGGCCAGCAACATGTTTAACGAGTTTAAATGGTAGGCATTAATATTTCAAAGTGAAAAATATTTCACATTTTGTTAAATTCATATTGTTGCTAAAAGGATTCATATATGTAATTTTATAAATAAAAATAATGTTCATAAACATTTAATAAGTTTCATAAACATGTTAACAACTTTTTTTAATATAGTATTTCAATTCATATAAAAGTTCCATTTTTCTATATTAAACATAAACTCTACTAAATAAATTCCATTTCATTCATTTCCTTAATTTCAGCATTTTCATCTAAAAATTCATCGATAACAAAAAAATCCTGAGTTATTGCATTATTTCCAGATGCCAAACAGCAATTTTGATTTGGAATAATACTATTAACTTGATTAGCTTTAACAACAGATTCATTAGCGTTATTTACAGATGTCTCTAGCAAATTTGTATTATCATTATTATTAATTTCTTTGCGTATGAATTGCAATAGATTTGGTTGCAGCATTTGATCATACAATTTGGCAATTTCTTGACCATTTAGGCCATGAATTTGTTTATAATGACGTGTTAAACTACCCTTATGCTGAAGATATCTTAAACAAACTTTACACTGATGTTGACTTTCATTTTGACAGCCCGTAGAAGTGTTAAGTTTTCGGGAATTTTTCGATTTTACTTTACTAATTGTGATAGATGAGGTTGATGGTGGAGGTGGTGTAGTTACTAGATGTGATGATGATGGTATTAAGGTTGGAAGTGCTAGAGTTTGTTCGGAAAATGATGATGTTATTGTGCAGGGGTTTTGCGTTAAATCATCTAAGGGAAAATAAAGAAAATAAAAATTTAAATAAAAGATATTTTTTCCCATATTAATAACTTTCTATAGAAAAGGGGTGAAAAGTTAGTCTGTTAGAGAATAGTTTATAAATTTGAGTTCTATTTTACATAACATTTACAGACAACAAAAGACAGACAGTAACAAATTTACTAAAAATCAACATGTTGCTAGAAACATTTAACAAATCTAATTTATTTCAATTTGATACAAATCTAAACATTTTAATTTTTACTATAAATTAGACAAAGAAACTGTTTAAACTATCTGTTTTATTTGATCAATAAGTTTAAATTATTTGAAGGCAATGTTGCTGACAACAAGGTTTATATTATTTATCGTTCAGGAACAAGCAGTTGCTTAAGTGCTTTGTTTCACTTTAAAATCAGATTTTGTTATCGAATTTAAGGTTAGAATTTGGACGTTATTCAACCCCTCATCCAAATTTCCGAATCGAAAATTGAGTTTGAACTGAAATAAACTAGAACTGAACTAGAAATGAACTAGAACTGAACTAGAAATGAACTAGAACTGAACTAGAACTGAACTAGAACTGAACTGGAACTGAACTAGAACTGAACTAGAACTGAACTAGAACTGAACTAGAACTGAACTAGAACTGAACTAGAACTGAACTAGAACTGAACTAGAACTGAAGTAGAACTGAACTAGAACTGAACTAGAACTGAACTAGAACTGAACTAGAACTTAACTAGAACTGAACTAGAACTGAACTAGAACTCAACTAGAACTGAACTAGAACTGAACTAGAACTGAACTAGAACTGAACTAGAGTTGAACTAGAACTGAACTAGAACTAAACTAGAACTGAACTAGAACTGAACTGAACTAGAACTGAACTAGAACTTAACTAGAACTGAACTAGAACTGAACTAGAACTGAACTAGAACAGAACTAGAACAGAACTAGAACTGAACTAGAACTGAACTAGAACTGAACTAGAACTGAACTGGAACTGAACTAGAACTGAACTAGAACTGAACTAGAACTGAACTAGAACTGAACTAGAACTGAACTAGAACTGAACTAGAACTGAACTAGAGTTGAACTAGAACTGAACTAGAACTGAACTAGAACTGAACTAGAACTTAACTAGAACTGAACTAGAACTGAACTAGAACTGAACTAGAACAGAACTAGAACAGAACTAGAACTGAACTAGAACTGAACTAGAACTGAACTAGAACT